CCAGGTATTTCTCCACTGTACTGACTGCAACGTATCTGAAGATGCTGAAGGGACCTGTTGTATGACCTGCTGGCTCCACGAACCACACAGGGCCAAGCAGCCCTCCCCAGACTACAGCCTTTTGCTGGGATTGGTGCATCCAGGGAATGGTTCAGAAGAGAGAGAGAGAACTGCAAGAAAGACGCCGTGGGCTATGTGGGGTCTGACTGTGCCCTCCCCTAAAAATGTCCCGCTGTGTTGGCTGCAAAGTTATTTGCAAGATAGGTTTGTTCCTCTCCCTACTGTGAACACGGTCGTCCTGCACCTTGATCATTCATCATCACCTCTTTCCCAGCACTCTCAGCCCAGCTCCCCCTTCCCCCAAAGTTCAGCCTCTCAGATGATTTCCCTTGGTGACCTTCCAGCCCATGTCACCTCCGTCATGAATCCCCTCCATTGGCTTGCTGTTAGCCATCACTTCAGGTTCACCTTCCAAGCTCTCCATGGGTCATTCACACCTACAACCCTGAGCTGGTTTCACCTCAGTGTTGCCCTGATCTCCTTTTCCTCAGTCCTTTCTCTTTGCTGCCTCTTCCACTCCTTTTTCCAAGAGCCTTTGCATACGTAACAACTCCGACCGTGACCCTAAGAAAGCTTCGCCCAGAGCACCATCCTCCACCACTGGCCATTGCTCACGGGCTCCATGGACTCTACCGCTCTCCCTCTACATACAAGCCCTTGTTAAATTTGCTTTCTTTTGAGACCCATAAAAAGTCAATTTTTAAAAAGCATATAACTCCAAGCTGGGCCTTCCCTTGGGTTTTCCAATGCACCCTGCCTTCTCCAGAGCAAAGCTGTCTTCCATTTTCGGCTTAATCAATGCCAGGTGATACCAAGGGAAATGTTCCTGATGGGTGTTTACTGAGACATCTGTCCTGTACAGCACCAGGTACATCAACAGTTTGCAATAAGACAACACATAATTACCCTCAAGCCTAGTATACAAGTGTTTCCAAACTTTTGATTCCTAGGGCAAACTTTTTTTTGGGACTAAAACTGGTGGTGCATGTCACATGGATGGCCAGCCTTTGATGAGCAGTGCCAGGTCAGTGCTGGGCCCGGTCCCGATGCATGGTGCCAGCATGGCTGCAGCCCGATCCCACCATACAGGACTTGGAAATCTAGTCCATTCAAAGTCCACCGGCCCCTCCAGCCTGCCTCCCCTTGTTTCCTGCTCTTCAAATGAACCACATGCAAAGCGGCTGATGGCCACCTGAATAGAAACAACCTTGTTTCTTTGCTGGAGGAGAAGAAGACCTGACACAATGCAGATGCATAAAAATGGATCCAAAACCCAGTAGGCTTGCTTGGGTGTTGCTTCAGGGGGTCGTTCTCAGAGCAAATGGCTGATTAGGACCAAGGCCGAGGCAGCATGTGTACTGCTCCTCGGGGTAGGGCTTGTGCTCAATTGAAATCATGCAGCCCGCAGCCATATAATGGCCTTGCTTATGCCAACAGGAGGATTAAAGAAGCTCCTATATTAGCACCCAGTAGCTGCAGCTTTGGAGTGGAAGTAGATCCTGTCTGGGCATTTGTCAGATTGTTACTTGGGTTATCTCAACCGCATGCGTTTGTACGTTGCCCATGGTTAACTGGAGCTAGTGCAAGAATTTAAGCCAAGGTAAGCCATGGTGGGGAGGGCTGCTATCAGGGGAAAAGTCAGCGGTTCAAAAAGAAGCCATCCCTCCCACCTTGGGAGATCAGACTAAATGAAAGAGCAGCTGTAGCTCAGATGGCTGAAATTCAACACCAGCTCTAGGGACCCCGTTGCGTCTCCCAAGGCAAATAGCTCCGGGATCGCGCTGAAAAGCAACAAAGCTGCCTTATTCCACACGCTCTTTGCTGACCGGCTACTCTGGTGCCACCCCTCTATCCCATGGAGGAGATGGAGCAGAGGTCAGACATAAGGGAAGTCCACCAGGTTGTCTCCATCCTGGTGCCTCTCCTCTTGTTTCAGTCCATGATCAAAATAACAGCCTTGCGATAGATCACATCCCGCTGCACTTTGCAGTTTGGGAATGAAGTCAATGGAGGAAAGAGAGCAAAGCTCTGGGAGCAAGAGTGCAAAGCTCTGGGAGCTGCTGCTGATGCTGTGCAGAGGGGGTTTCTGCCTGTTGGTGGAGTAGGGTTGGAGGCACTGCTGGTTGACAAGGTGAGGCTGATGGCTGCGGGGATGGGGTCGACGTGTCAACCCCTCTCCTGTGCTCCTCCAACTGGGTCCCATCATATAGCCGGTCCAGCCCATCTCCCTGCCAGCATAAGGTTGCTCTGTAAAGTGCATCTGGTTGCACATGCACAGCAGAGCTGGGACAAAGGATTTCCATACATAGCCACTGACTCCCTTTGTGAGCTTGGGTAGGTCTCTTCATTTCCTGGCATTGCCCAAGGAAAGGATATATAACTTCCTTTACAAGCGCATGGAGGTCTAGGGACAAAAAGCACCAGACTAACACATCCTGGTCTTCCTTTGAACATAGGCAGTACTGGGCCAAAGAGGGAGAAAACCAAACATGCACCAAAAACTGAGGAACAGGATGATACGACATGGTTGCTGCAACAGCCAGCAACTAGACTTGAAGATGTTGGATACCCCTTTCAGTCCTGGGTTTTTATGATCCTATGCAAGTAACTACAGACAAGAGACCAACAGAAGGGACTCAAGGAAAGAGCAGAGTGGTGCCACCCCTGCCAGTGTGCTTTTCAATGTGGTTTCATTGCAATTGGTTGGAAACACAATGAAACCCTAAGGGGTTATGAATGCAAGACTTCATTTCATGCAAGACCTGCCTCCCTTGGCAGGCAGCGTTTGATCTCTGCGGCAAAACAGAGCACAGCCACCGGTCACTGGATCCCCCCGCCAATGTGTGCAGACAGATGAGTTACAGAGCCCGAGAGTCTAGGATGCAGTCTCTTGATTTACCGAGATGAATGAACCACATGCTGAGACCTTTCCAGAGTGTATCACAATGAGCTTTAAACCTTCCCTTTCTTTAGGATTCATCTTCTCTTTCTTTTTTAATAAGCATGTGGATTTTTCTCCTTTAAGCTATTGGGAAATTCTAGCATGTCAGAAAATGGCATGATATGACCACCATGCAAGGAGGGTTTATCTTCTGTAAGGACCCCTAAGCTGTGCTAAGACGCTTCGGTCTTGCCCGTCAACCTCTTTATTCAGGGAAGTAAGTAGCCCTGGAAGGAGAAGGGCAAAGCATAAGCCAGGGTTTGGAAAGCAGCTAAAAGAAAGCAAAGAACGGGAGAAAATGATTCATTTTCAGCATGGCAAAAGGTTAATGATGGAGCATCGTTAAGGTTCCAGGAGGACTAGAAATAAGGGAAAGA